CCCCCCCATACCCTCCCATCCCGTGCACAAATTTCGTGCACCGGGCCTCTAATTTGTATATAATCCTGTGGAGAGTTGGTAGTTTTCTTATTTTCCACTGAGGAAACAAAGCTCATAGGTTAAGCAATTTGACCAAGGTCATATCACTTGTAAGTAGCAGGGCTGGTGCTAGAGCCAAATTTGCCTGCCCATGATTTATGCTACAGTGTATTCTTGTAACAAATTTAGCAAATCACAGAAGATATGATAAAAATGGCACGTGTTTTTTAGGTACCTACTGCTTGATGGGCACTGCCAAATATAACATAAAATCATATCCTTTGCCTGAAGATTAAAGCAATCATCACACTTAAGATATTTTTCCCTACACTGTTTGGTCAAACCGGACAATTTTTGAAAAAAGTAAAGAACATATATGTAGCATAAGTTTCTAAAGAAATCATTATTAAGCAGTCTCTATGTGTTGAGGCAGATGAGGAATGTAGAAGAAAACAAAAACTGTAGAGACAGAGGCACTTGAATTTGAGTTCTGGCTCTTTATCATCTCTAAGCAGTGTTGCCTTTGCTGAACCTCTATTTCTTCACCTCAAAGAAGGGGGACGGGATTATTATGAACATATCTACCCTGTAGTATTGTTGGGTAAGTTAATTGACCAAAGTAAGAAAAAAAATCTTAGCAAAATACCTAAGCTGATAGGTGTTTCTGGTCATTGTTTTTGAGGGCATCTGGAAATAGATGTTACACATACAGGTATGTTTCTTTTCAGATGGGTGGAAGAAGATTCACACACGCATTTTCTGGACCCTAAAGCCTGACATTTGCTTTCTTTTTCTCTTGTTCTTGTTTTAGGGAATGACCATGGATAAAAGTGAGCTGGTACAGAAAGCTAAACTCGCCGAGCAGGCTGAGCGCTATGATGACATGGCTGCAGCTATGAAGGCAGTCACGGAACAGGGGCATGAACTCTCCAATGAAGAGAGAAATCTGCTCTCTGTTGCCTACAAGAATGTGGTAGGCGCTCGCCGTTCTTCCTGGCGTGTCATCTCCAGCATTGAACAGAAAACAGAGAGGAACGAGAAGAAGCAGCAGATGGGCAAAGAGTACCGGGAGAAGATAGAGGCAGAACTGCAGGACATCTGCAACGATGTTCTGGTAAGGCCAGTGCTTCTGTTTCAAACAGTTATTTGTAAGTTGTATTAATTTAATGTTCAAATGCAAACTCTCAAACAGCTTATGAGACAAAGGTGTCTGAGTATACTGGAAAGCTGCAAACCATTTGCAAGTAATTTTTAAGCATATGAAGTTATTTTTCTTACCTCTTATTTGATCAGAGGTTGCTTATCACTTATGGGGAATTTTCCTCTCTCCTTTCAAAAAGACCTGTGAAAAATAGGAACATTTAGTCAACATTCCTCCATCTTTTCTTTAGAAATCGAATCCAGATAGGCAGGATTATAGGTAGATGCAGCACAGATAGGCTATTCTGTACACTAGGAGCAAACAGCTGAGCTGCTTTTCATGCCTGCCCAGTGTAAAGTCCTGCTTTTGTCCGAAAGTTAGCCACGTAGGTCAGTTTGGGCCTGCGTTCCCAAGCCAAATCAACAGTGGTTTGGGGATTTTCCTCTCCTATGTTTTATAGGAACCTTGGTCAGATGATTGATTCCTAACTGCTTTCACTCTGACCACCATCTGGGGTTGGATGGGAGGGGTGCATATCCTAGAGCAAATCATGATCATATTGTCTTTCCCTCACATCCTGAGCCCACTGGGAACTTTTTTTTTCTTCCAGGTGAAATCAGGTAAAAATGAACGGTGAGGGCTGCTTTGAAGGGAAAAGGAATTCACACTTGTGGATCTACCTCCTCCCCTGCTGGCTGCCTCTCCGAATTACTGCCCATGACACCTTTCTTTTGAAAACCTGTACAAAGCTTGTCAGCCATCAGGCAGTTCTCCTCATTCCTAACCCATAAGGAGTTGCACCCTGTCTGTCTGCAAAGAATTAAAATTACTATTGCCCTTTGCATCTTTTCACTTTGATTGATTACATCCCCTTATAACTAAGCTTTTGCATTGAGCTGCTCTTTTTGTTAGACTCATAGTGTAAGAATGTCATGACTAAATTTGTTGCCTGTTGGTAATTTGGGGGTTTGTTAATTTAATGGTGCACTAATTCCTGAATGTTAGGTGCATCTGATATTCAGATGAAGTATGGCATGTATTCCAAGGGCAAGAAAGTTCCATAATTCCTGAAAATGTAGACCAGCTTTTAAGAGCATCTGAAAGAATGTGAAGAACGCATGGTACTTACTGCCTCTTAACCAGTTTTTCAGGATGCCACATTCTAAAACAACTCTTCGAAAATATTGCTCTGTTTACGAAGCTTGGACTCCTTCAGAACTGCTTTTGTTGTAAGCATAAATGTTTAAAGGAATTTATTATTAATAATAGTAGTAGCTACCTTTTGAGTGCTTACTATGTGCCAGGCAACATGTTAAGCACTTCATGTATTTAGCTCTTTCTCATAACTACTCTAGAAGATGGCTATTGTGCTTCCTGTTGGAGAGCAGAGGAAACTGAGGCTAAGGATAGTTAGGTCATTTGTCCAAGGTCATACAGATAGTTCCTGTCACCTAGAGAACCATTATTAACATTGAAAAAGTATCATTCCAGACTTTTCCTGTACGTATTTTTGTGCGTGTAGACACATATTTTAATATTAAAATAGGATTCATGTGATATTTGTAATCTGCCATTTTTATTTCACTCAGAATTCTTTTGAGAACCTTTTCATATTTAACAGTGTAGTTCCACATCGTCATTTTTAAGGCCTACATAGCATTCCATTGTATGGCTCTACTTTAATCAACCCCTTATGGATGGTGAAGTGATTTTTAACAGAAGAAAACAGACATCTGCTAAAAACTTTTAAACGCTTTGGATGAAAAATGTTTTTTTTAATCTTCAAAAAAAATATTTAGAAGTGGTAGTGTGTATCTTGAATCTCAGACATAGTTTTAACATCTTGTAAATAATATTTCCAGATTCTTAACAAAATGTGAATCATTTTTTAGGAGCTGTTGGACAAATATCTTATTCCCAATGCTACACAACCAGAAAGTAAGGTGTTCTACTTGAAAATGAAAGGAGATTATTTTAGATATCTTTCTGAGGTGGCTTCTGGAGACAATAAGCAAAGTAAGTAACATTAAAAAAGAAAAGAAATTTGAGCACTAGTGGAGTCAGTTTTCCTTTATAATAATTTTAACAGTTTTTTCCTTGTCTATTCACTGTAGACACTAACATCACAGTACTCAGAAAGACCACAGCATTGTGCTGACCTGTGTGATAAGCACTTCATGTATTTAGTCATAAAGTGGGTTGACAGATCAAAATGAATCTAAGGGGAAGATAGGGAGGGCATTAAAAGTCTGGTGCAGTCCTAACTAGTTTAGCTCAGTGGATAGAGCATTAGCCTGTGGACTGAAGGGTCCCAGGTTCAATTCCAGTAAAGGACACATACCTCAGTTGCAGGCTCCATCCCCAGTCCTGGTTGGGGAGCATGCAGGAGTCAACCAATTGATGTGTCTCTCTCACATCATTGTTTTCCTCTCCCCCACTCCCCTCTCTTTAGAGGTGAAACTTGACCATGAAAGCACCATATAAAGAGTAATGCATCTCTTTTATCTCATACATGTATTACTGTGGTGGTGATAATTATAGCTGTGTTTTATTAAGTGCCTATTATGTGCCAAATATTATAGAGTCTCATTTATTCCTTACACAACCCTGGGAGTTTGGGTGGAAGTCTGTTCATTTTTCTGATAAGGAAACCAAGGCTACAGAGGTTTTCACTTCAAGCCACACACCTAGTGAATAAGAGCTGGTAATTCAAGTTTGGGTTCAAAGTCCATGACCTTTCCACTAGAGCATATTTTTTATGTTCTATCTTGTTAAAGGTTATTTCTGTATTTCTTACTGCCTTAGTGGGCTTTGTCATAATTGTTTTTGTTTTCCCCCAAAGCATTTCATGTAGTACTTAACTTAGAACAAACATTTAGCAAATGATTGTTAATCAAATGGTGGCATCACTGACCATTTAATCCAGCCTAGTTTGGTAAAATAATTTGATAGTTGTCCAGTATGTGATGCAGCCTCTGAAAGAACCCAACCTTTTAATATTTTTTTTTTTATCTTTCTTTTAGCCACTGTGTCGAACTCTCAGCAGGCTTACCAGGAAGCATTTGAAATTAGTAAGAAAGAAATGCAGCCTACACACCCCATTCGACTTGGCCTGGCACTGAATTTCTCAGTGTTTTACTACGAGATTCTGAACTCTCCTGAAAAGGCTTGCAGCCTGGCGAAAACGGTGAGAAAGGCCCTCTGGTTTCTGATCATAGTAAAACAGTGCTGTTCTTAGTTACTTATTTCCTGAATATAACTCATTGTCTTGGACTATTTTCATAAAATACATATTTAAGTATATATTTTATGAAATAAATTCAGACCTACTTTTTGATTTCTTCTTAACACCTGCTATTTTGTGTTTTATTTTTGTTTGATTAGTATTTGAGGGTGGGGTTATGGAAAAGTCAGGGTGAAGGTAGTTTGTTTTTCTTGTCAAGCTTTGGGTTGTAGAATTTGGAAAAGTGTGTGAAATGAATTCTCAAAGTTCCATTGCATAATTGAATCAGAGTTCGTGGTGTGAATTTCTGTTCTCCCTTGATCTCTTGTATCCAGACCTTTTGAGTTGTAGTGTTTTTTGTTTTGTTTTTGGTTTGGGGGTTTTGTTTTGTTTTGTTTTGTTTTGTTTTCTTAAAGGATTACTAGAAATGTCTTTGGTAATTAAAACATTACATGAATTTGGCCCTGGCCGGTTTGGCTCAGTGGATAGAGCGTCGGCCTGCGGACTGAAGGGTCCCAGGTTCGATTCCGGTCAAGGGCATGTACCTGGGTTGCGAGCATATCCCCAGTGGGGGTTGTGCAGGACCCTCTCACTTCCTCTCTGCAAAAAATCAATAAAATATATAAAAATAAATAAATAAATAAATAAATAAATAAATAAATAAATAAATAAATACATGAATTTGCCTAGAATGAATGCTGTATTAACAGTGATACCTGCTGACTTATCTAAGAATTTTTGTCATTGTTGGTGCTTTATAAACATTCATCATATGTTTGCTGAAACCGCTAGCAAACAAGGTAATAATGGCCTAGGTCAGTGATGGCGAACCTTTTGAGCTTGCGTGTCAGCATTTTGAAAAACCCTAACTTAACTCTGGTGCCGTGTCACATATAGAAATTTTTTGATATTTGCAACCATAGTAAAACAAAGACTTATATTTTTGATATTTATTTTATATATTTAAATGCCATTTAACAAAGAAAAATCAACCAAAAAAATGAGTTCGCATGTCATAGGTTCGCCATCACTGACCTAGGTTCTCCCAAAGTGCTGGACAGGATAAATTATATTCCTTTGTTAGCAGGAAAAAATTGGACTAAATGTGCTCCAGAGAACCTGTGATTTCTTTGCTAAAGACTCTTTGTTGTAGGCATTTGATGAAGCAATTGCTGAATTGGATACACTGAATGAAGAGTCGTACAAAGACAGCACGCTGATCATGCAGTTGCTTAGGGACAATCTCACTGTAAGTACCACTGGTTTCAGTGACTGCTTTTGGAGGGTTCATGGTCTACTCACCCACCTCATAATTCACTATTGCCCAAGACCCAAGAGAGTTTTGTACCTTGTAAGTATAGTTAATATTTTAAAGTGTTAAATTGGTTCAATTTAAGTGTTGAATGAGTACTAAAGTTTTGACCTTTTTAGTCATCACTGTTGGCACTCATACAGGAAGAATTTTAAACAGTCGAGGGAGAGATAAGGTGCTACAGATGGGAAACCGCTGAGAGTACATTTTAGTAGCCCTGCTTTGATCATAACTCTGTTTTTCTCTTGCAGCTGTGGACGTCGGAAAACCAGGGAGATGAAGGAGATGCTGGGGAGGGAGAGAACTAATGTGTATTGTGCTCCGTGATCTGTTCAGTGTCACTCTGTACCCTCCACATATATCCCTTTGTGCGATAAAAAAAAAAAAAAAAGAATCGTACATTGACTTTTCGATTTTTCACAGCCTCAGCCTAGCAAAAATGGTCCATGGGATAAACAGCTGGTATTTGTATCTTAAACTCAGATTGGTCACGTAAATGCCACGGCATTCTGAAGTTTTGATTTTTAACATTGACAGGATTACTGTGTGTTTAATTTTTTTAAAAACTGAACACTGTGATTATGGGGTTTTGTAACTAAGCAGAACTCTTACTGGTAGAAAAAATAGACCTGAATTATCTGTAACTTTTGGGAAAGTTTAAACAGTCACTGAAATACTGCTCCATTGTACAGTTGTACAGAAAGTTGTAGTGATTATATTGTGATGCTGGGACTTGGAGTGAGATACCTGTCATTTCGCATTCGAGTTTAATGGCAATTCACAGTAATTATGCCTGTTCAGGGCTTATAGACACTTGACCAGTTGGGGCTCTTGCCACTCAAAAGTTCATGACCAGTGTCTTCCTTTGAGGAAACTCGAAGTCGAAAATTGAAATTCTTTGTGGCAGTTAACTGGGTTATGACACCATGAGAAGGTCCAGTGCTCATACAACACACGTGACTAAAACCCCTGTCCTACAACAATGTCACTGATTTGCAACTTGTGCTTCAGTCGTGGAATCTTACTTTCCTTGTAACCATGAGCTAAAGAAGAAAGCAAGCCGTGTATCTTATGAATGGCCTTATCTGTCTCCTGGGTAATAACTTTATGAATAATGTTCTGCAGAGATTGCCTTTCACACGAGGAGTGCTCAGTCTTTGGGTTCTTCCTAGCTCTGGGCTTTTAAATTTTGAAATCTAAACATTCTTTCCCACTGTCTTTTTGACTGTTGACTTTTTTTTTTCTCTTCCTTTTTAAGTTTCTGTCCTGCTGCTTTACCTTTTTTTTTCTTTTTGAAGTTTATCTTTATTTTTCTTTTGTTCACAGTTTAATACTATATGGACAGGGATAGGAGGCCTGGAGGGGGTGAGAAGGGAAATTGGTGAGCACTTTGGTGAGCAGGCCTTGTTTCAGTCAAGAAGAGCTTCCAGCACCGTAGCTCTGTCTTCCTCCAGTTTTCAGCACAGTTGTTCTTCCGTCACACCAAGATCTGAATCAAAAAGTATTTTTAAATATCCATGACTCCTCCCTGTATTAACAGCCAGCCCTGATAATGCTTGTTGGTACCTGATCTCCCAACTGTACTCATCCAGCCAAGTTCACAGACGTGTTTAAACAAGACCCTCTGATGCAGGGAAGTTGCATGATCACTGCATTGGGGAGAATCCAGAATACCCAGGCCTACCAGTCTCACAGTATCCCCCCTCTCTTTAACATTCCACATAGCTGTAGTATCCATCTGTTTGTCCATCTGCTGAAATGAGAAAAGAAACCTTCATGCACTGATGAAAACAAACCAAAAAAAAAAAAAAATCCCTCCTTTCTAGCTGAACAAAAATGTGCAGTTAAATACTTGGCGCTTGAAAATGCAGTAGTGAACGTGGAACGAGCCTGTCTGTATATCTGGTAGCTCTTTCTTGCTTTGTTTTTCCTTACCAGTATTCTGCCTCACGTTTGCTTCTGTGATGGTTATATTGCCTAGCAAGCACACCCGTGGTTGTGAAAATAGTATAGTAAAAAAAGAAAAATCCCCGGTTATTGATGTACTAGATTTGTGTATGTCTTTTAAACAGTTCTAGTTTCCACCTTACACGGAATAATCAGGAAACGTGTAAAAATTCAAAAGTGAAATAAAAAATTTTATCAGTTAGTTGCCTGTGAATTGATGTGTGGCACCATTACTATCACTACCAGAATTAGCTAACTTTTTTTTTATCACACTCATTTTAGGCTCTACTCTTTCTTTAAAAGTAGGCAACAGCTTTATGTCATCCTTTAGAACTTGAAGTCAAGGTGTTGTCAAAGGAAAGAAATTACCATTAATACAAAGCCTACCCACCTTATATAAACCACTTTAGGTCTTTGGGAGCTTCTAAAATTTGGTGATGCCAGTGGATTTTGCATCCCATTCAAGTCTCTTCCCCCCCCCCCCACCCCCTCCTTTTGTTTTTTTAAACCCTGAGATGTAAGCAAGACAGTGAGATGGTTACATAAGGCCTGGTCATCTCCAAAGTAATAGTCTGTCATCTGTCTCAACACTATGGTAGCCAGCAGCTCTGTGTATCCTCATGGGATTTCCCACAAGGAGAGGAAAATGATTAGGAGGAGGGAGTAATTTCTAGCCCAAGATTAGAATTGATTGGTGCCTTCTTGCAACTGTTGGCTGGGCAGCCAGACCAGCTCCTGCCCCTGGTTCTGGAGCAGTTCCACCTTTCAGAGACACACCCAGCCAAAGGTCAGTGGGACCTGCTTTGTTGCAGCAGGGAAATCTGGAGGGTCCGCCCCTCCTAGAGGCCAGGTGAAGTACTGTCCCACATGGATTGGAATTCTTCAGAAAGGACTCCACAGCACAGATCGAATCTGCAAACTCAAGATTGCTGGAAGGGTCTTGCTGCTCCGCTTGGGACCACCGCCCTAACCGCATTGGGACCTCACTTCCTTAGAGTAACTTGGTGAGCCTTCCTAGTGGTGTGCAGGTGGAATGGATCCTTAATGAGAAAGAGGTGGGCAGGGACTATCCCAGGAAAAGGTCTATGCAAACTACATAGGAGGCAGTGTCAAAAAAGGCCTTAGTGGTCTTGAATTCCCACATGGAGCCTTCAGTCCCAAGTCACAAAGCTGGTTCCAGAGGGTGGGGCTAGACTGGGCTCCCTTGAGAAAAAGACTCCTTTCAGCTGGCCAGGTACACGCCTTTGAAAATAGCCAGGCATCCCGCTCCAAAATACTCTTGTTTGTAATGCAAACAGGATGTACGGTCTCCTTTAATCCTTACGAAGAGGGAGCTTACAAAGACGGGAATCGGGCTCGTAAAGGCAGTAACATTGGGGATTACAACTCAGGTTTCAGGCCCTCCCAGAGAGCTCAGCTCCACCGCGTCTCTACAGCCCCACCCCAGGCCAGGTGAGGGCTCTCCCGCCTCCGGAGGCTTCTAGAACGCTGAGGGGTCCCAGGTGGGGACCTAAGAGGGGAGGGGCCGGAGCGTGGGTGATTGGCACGCGGGCGCCGAGGGGTGGTAAAAGAAGGGGCGGCCGCGCAGGGACGGAGAGTCCCTTGCTTCCTGCGCGCCCGCCGCCGCCGAGGTTCCCGCCCGAGTGACGCACGCGGGGCGCGGGGGCCGGCACGTCGTCCCCCACCCCCCGCCATGAACGCCAGTGGCCCGGGCTTCCCGCTGGCCTCGCTCTACGTGGGTGACCTGCACCCCGACGTGACGGAGGCTATGCTGTACGAGAAGTTCTCGCTTGCCGGGCCCATCCTGTCCATCCGCGTGTGCCGCGACGTGGTCACCCGCCGCTCGCTGGGCTACGCCTACATCAACTTCCAGCAGCCGGCCGACGGTGAGCCCGGGGGCTGGGAACGGACGGACTGGAGCACGGTGCAACCAAGGCATCTCGGCTGTCCGCTCTGCCATCTCTGCTCCTGCAGCTTCAGTTTTGCAGCCAGGGAAACAGGTCCAGAGAGCCCCCTGAGGCCCTGAGCAGGAACGAGCAATTAGTGTGTGCCTACTGTGTGTTTTCCTGGTGCCCCAGTTTGTAGAGGGGAGATAGTAAGGCCGAGTGGAAACATCCAAGGGCTTTAGGGCCAGGCCAACCCTAGGATTAGAAAGCCAGCAGCTGTGTGACTTTGAGCAAATTACTCAACCATTCTGAGCTTCCCTTGCCTTTCTGAAAAATGGGGAGCGGACCTGCTTGATAGAGAGGTTGAGAGGAGGAGAAAATTCAAAGCACCTGGTGAGGCGATGTGGGAGGCGACATGGGAAGCCAGGAGAGCTGGGCCTGGGGCTCGGGCTCTCCCGGCTGCTGACACCAGGTCTGCACCAGGCGCTTTTCCCTTGGCAAGCCCAGAAAAACCGCCTCCACCTTAGGCTCCACAACCCGTTTCTCAGAGCTGATGGGATTGATTAGCGTTTGCGGAGTGGGTGTGCCCTCACCTCTGGTGAGTTTAAGAGCCCCGGTTTTGCTCAAGTTTTTCCACTAGGGTGTGAGCTTGAGCAAAAGTTAACACTTGACACTTCATCTGTGAAATGGGAGCTAAGGCTTGGAAGGAAAACTGTGTCTATGAAGTCGCTCCAGGTACAGCGGTTCTCAACCTGTGGGTCGCGACACCTTTGGCGGTCGAACGACCCTTTCACAGGGGTCGCCTAAGACCATCCTGCATATCAGATATTTACATTACAATTTATAACAGTGGCAACATTACAGTTATGAAGTAGCAACGAAAATAATTTTATGGTTGGGTCACAACATGAGGAACTGTATTTAAAGGGCTAGAAGGTTTGAGAACCACTGCATGGGCTCAATAAGTGTAACCTAAGAAAAAAAAAAGTAACCAGCATTCAGGTGCAAGACTCCAGAAACAACCCAAAAAGGCTTACTCTGCGTCTGCTGGGTGGATGGGGAGGTTCCCCTCCAGCTGGGGGTTTGCTGGGGTGGTTCAGCCTTTTTCCCAGGGGATGACTGAGCTGGATTCCAGGGGGACTTCTCTTTTGCTCTGCTTTCCCCACCCACTGCCATTTCCAGCTTTCTCCAAGTTCTGCACACCTGACCTTTTGGCCAGACTTCATAGATGGGGAAGCTGAGCTCCAGAGAGAAGGGGTTTAGCCCTGGGTGTTCATTGGTAGAACTCGATGGAAAAACCAGACTCCACTGAGTTCTGCACAGTTCCTGTCCATGCCTCTGAAGGTAGAGGAATCCTTTAAGCAGGGGACAGCATGTGACCGGGGAGAGGTAAAGGCCATAGCAGTCGCAAGAGGACAGGCATAGGCTGCTGTTTTCAGACACACTGCCATTTGCCAACCATCTGTTTTGTGCCAGGTGCTAAGGACAAGGCACCTTGCATTCCTTTTTTTTAAATATATATATATTTTTTTATTGATTTCAGAGAAGAAGGGAGAGGGAGAGATAGAAACATCAATGATGAGAGAGAATCACTGATTGGCTTCCTCCTGCACGCCCCCTAGTGGGGATTTGGCCCACAACCCTGGCATGTGCCTTTGGCCGGAATCGAACCCAGGACCTCCCAGTCCGCAGGCCGACGCTGTGTCCACTGAGCCAACCCGGCTAGGGCGGCACCTTGCATACCTTATTTAATTTTCAGCCTGTCCAACAGCCTAGAGGTAGGTGTGAAAGGGTGGTTAATATCATCATCATCATCACTACTTTAGAGGAAGAAACCAGCTCAGAGAGTTGATGCTTGCCTCCCCCAACATCCTACTACTTGGGGTCAAATCTCAACTCTGCTGCTCAGCACCTCTGAGCTTGAATTTCCTCTGACTGCTGCCACCGTTTGTCATAGAGGCCCTCCTTTACATTTTTATCTACTCGGTGTGCTTTAGAGACCACAGTAGACCTGGCTCTGCCACTGATCTTTCCCCTTTCTGAACCTCAGTTTTCCCTTCTGTAAAATGGGGGTAGAAATCCATGCTCACGTGGCTATAGTGAGGAGTTGAATGAGATCCTAAAAAGTGGGAGGAGTGCCATACACTTTAATTCTTATCCCTCCTGAGCATTCAGGCTCTATCTCCAGTGAGACCCAGACACTGGCTCTTTTTTTTTTGGAAGGAGGCTCCCAATTACCAGTAAGCACCTGAGGGCTCAGGGAGTCCCCTTAACTTGCTCCTTTCTCTCCTCCTGTCCAGCGGAGCTGGCACTGGATACAATGAACTTTGAGGTTATCAAAGGCCAACCCATTCGCATCATGTGGTCCCAGCGAGACCCAGGACTTCGAAAGTCGGGTGTGGGCAACATCTTCATCAAGAACCTGGAGGAGTCCATTGACAACAAGGCCTTATATGATACCTTCTCCACCTTTGGAAACATCCTGTCTTGCAAGGTTGGTGAGCCCTCTTGAGGGGGTCTGGGTCAAGTACCTGTGTGGTAGAGGTATTCCAAGCAGCACCTCACTTTATAGTATATGAGGTCTTTTCAGTTAAGCTCTAGGTTCAGCAAGGACCGGAATGGAAGTAATTCTTTCAGTTTCATCTTCACATACCTATCAGAGGCCACCTGTGTTTCAGTCTGCTTTTGCTGTGTAATCACCCCAAAGCTTAGTCACTGTCAACAGCCATTACTTAGCTTATAATTCTGCAGTTGGTGATTTGAGCTGAGTTCAGCTGAACAGGTCTGGCCTTGGCTGGGCTCCTTCATGTGCCTATGGAGAGCTGGGTGGCTCTGCTTCTAGGCAGTTGTTGGCTGTTCTCTGGAACATCTCAGCTTTCCTCCCTATGGTCTTTCATCCCCCAGCAGGCTAGCCCATGGCAATGGCAGGGGCCTGGGAGACAGAGTGGAAGCTCACCAGGCCTCTTGAGATCTAAGCTTGGAACTGGCACACAGTCACTTCCAATGCATTCTATTTGCCAAAGCAAGTCACAAGACCCAATTCAGAGTGAGAGGGCATAGAAATTATAGGACAAAGAGTGTGGATATAGGAAGGCCGTTAATTGAGGTCATCATTGCAATCAATGGCCACATCTTGTTTTTAAGATTTCTCTTATAATAGAGGGGAAGTTCCATAAGAGTAATGATCTTGTTTTTATTTACCTTTGTATCCTGGTACCTAGAATAAGATTGGCACATAGTAGATGGCTCAATAATATTTAGTTCCATTTTCCCCAGTCAGCTGACACTTTAAGAGTTTAAGAATTTCCTGAAAGAGTCAATTGGGAGTTCCATTTTTAACTTTATGAGGAAATGCCATACTGTTTTCCACAGTGGCAGCACCAGTCTACATTCCCACCAGCTGTGGACTAGGGTTCCCTTTTCTCTACATCGCCAACACTGCTTGTTGATTTGTTGTTGATAGCCATTCTGACACGTGTGAGGTGGTACCTCATTGTTGTTTTAATTTGCATCTCTCGGATGATTAGTGACTTTGAGCATTTTTTCATATGTTTCTTGCCTTCTGTATGTCCACTTTGGAGAAGTATCTATTTAGGTTCTTTTCCCATTTTTGAATTGGGTTGTTTGTCTTCCTTTTTTTAAGTTGTATGAGTTCCTTATATATTTTGGAAATTAACTCTTTATCAGATGTATCCTTGGCAAATATATTCTCCCATGCAATGGACTCTCTTTTCATTTTGTTGATGTTTCTTTTGCTGTGCAGAAACTTTTTATTTTGATGTAGTACCATTTGTTTATTTTCTCCTTGGTTTCCTTTGTCCTAGGAGATGTATTGGTAAATATATTGCTACAAGAGATGTTTGAGATTTTACTGCCTATGGTTTCTTCTAGGATTTTTATGGTTTCATGACTTACAGTTAAGTCCTTTATCTGTTTTGAGTTCATTCTTGTGTATGGTGTAAGTTGGTGGTCTAGTTTCATTTTTTTTTTTTTTTTGCATGTACCTGTCCATTTCCCAACACCATTTATTGAAGAGAAAGTCTTGACTCCATTGCATGCTCTTGCCTCCTTTGTCAAATATCAATTGAGCATAATGGCTTGGGTCAATATCTGGAGTCTCTGTTCTGTTCCACTGATCTATATGCCTGTTCTTGTGCCAGTATAGGCTGTTCTGAATACAGTAGCCTTGTAGTATAACTTGATATCTGGTATTGTGATTCTTCCAACACCAATCAGAAAGAATGTATGCACCCCATGTTCATAGCAGCGTAATTTACAATAGCTAAGATTTGGAAACAGCCTAAGTGCTCATCAGCAGATGAGTGAATAAAAAAGCTGTGGTACACCTACACAATGGAATACTACATGGCAGTAAAAAAGAAGGAACTCTTACCATTTGCAACAGCATGGATGGACCTGGAGAGTATTATGCTAAGGGAAATAATTCAGTCAGAGAAAGATAAGTGTCACATGATCTCACTCATATGTGGAATCTAATGAAGAAAATAAACTGATGAACAAAATAAATCTAGAAACATAGAAGCATGGAACAGACTGATGAATTTCAGCGGGAAGGCAGAGGTGGGTGGGCAGAGGTTAACCAGGGGGAATTTATATGCATATATGCATAGCCCATGGACACAGACAATAGGGTGGTAAAGGCCTGGGAAGGGTCGGTGCGGGGAGGAGGGGTCAATGGGGGGGAAAAAACCACAAAGGGGACATCTGTAATACTTTCAACAATAAAGATACATTTTAAAAAAGTGATCATAAATAATAATACAAAAAAAGAATTGCTTGAAAGGGTTCTTATGGCTACTACAACAAGATAAGTATGCAATACCCTTAGCAGGTATTTGGCCCCAAAACGGGGACCCAGTCAACGTGGTTGAATTTGAAAGGAAGCTGGGGCTTGAGTTGAAAGTGGGGGACCCTGTTTGGGGCTGGAGAGTGGAGGAGGGTATGCTGGGCCTAGATTTGGATGAATACTAGTGCAGGGCCAATTCAAGAGCCTCAAATGTCAAGTTGATCTAGTTCTGTGGACAGCTGGAGCTACTGGAAGTGAGGTCCCAATGGGACACCGTCACAGTTCCATTTTGGAGAAAGCATCCCAGGGGTCAGCATGCAAGCTGGGTTGGGAGGCTGGGGTGGTCATCTAGGCAAAGGCCACTTCGCTGAGCTGGGGCACCGGCTGCAGGGTGGGTGGAGCTAGGGACACCCTGAAATGGGCATTAGTGGTCTTTGTGCAAGTTCAATCAGAGGGATGGGAACTACGTGACCTGAGGATTTTTCCCATTCTCAAGCTCTGTGCTTCTCATTTGAGTCAGGGGGCTCACGAAATAGGGGTAGGATGTTTGTGGGTCTTTTCCAAAATTAAAACAAGTCTGTTGTTGAAACAGTACATAATTGATGAAGTTTAAACAATGTGGAAAGGAACGAAGTGGAAAAGAAGGCTCCATCCCTTTCAACCCTAGTCCCCAGAAATAACCATTATTAACAGTTTTCTGTGTTTCTGTTTAAAATTTTCCCTTGTGTAGATGCTCACTTTCACCCAATTGGGCTTGATTTTTCCCCTGCTTAATGATATACCCTCCACATCACTCTGTGGCAGCCATATAATCTACCATGTTCTCCTCAGCTGTACACTAGCACGAATGTACTGTAACTTACATAACCAGTCGCCTCTTGATGGATACTCAAGAGGTTTTTCTAATTTGCTGTTAGAAACTTGTCTGTGGTATAGAAGACCTGCGTTCAATTTGAGGACGGTACTGTGTGAGCTTAAGCAAGTGGATCAACCCCTCTGAGCTTTAGTTTCCCATCTCTAAAATGGAGTTGTGTGACATAGAATTGTCTGTCACAGTCACAGAGCGAGCACTCAGATCTTAGTTGTTCTACCTGAACCCCCTGTTGGATGCTCTTCTTGTTCTTTTTCTCTGTGGCCCAGGTGGCGTGTGATGACCACGGCTCCCGAGGCTTTGGCTTTGTCCATTTTGAGACCCGTGAGGCTGCGCAGCAGGCCATCAGCACCATGAATGGGATGCTGCTGAATAACCGCAAAGTGTGAGTGGCAGGCATAGGGGTGGACCGAAGCCAAAGGGACAGAATCATAGCATCACCCACTGGGGACCCATGCTACCCACCACCATCTAAGGCAGCGGTTCTCAACCTGTGGGTCGCGACCCCTTTGGCGGTCGAACGACCCTTTCACAGGGGTCGCCCAAGACCATCCTGCATATCAGATATTTACATTACGATTCATAACAGTAGCAACATTACAGTTATGAAGTAGCAACGAAAATAATTTTATGGTTGGGTCACAACTTGAGGAACTGTATTTAAAGGGCCAGAAGGTTGAGAACCACTGATCTAAGGGCACCAGGCACTGAGCAGCAGCCGGTATTCTTCCTGGCAGTGTGACCTCGGAAGAGTGGCTTAAGCTCTCAAGGACTCCCTTTCCTCAAGTAAAAATGGGACCGCTGATATATGCTTAGAGGATTTTTCTGAGGAGTCAATGAAGTGATGATTCTGAAGGAATGGCCAGATCATCAATGGACTCAGCCTTCTCAGCGTGCCTGTGCATTTTTTTCTTAAGCCTTTTGTGTTATTTCATGGGATTTGGGGATGGGTGGGAAAGTAGGCATACGCTTAGCCGGCCATCTTCATACAAATCAGTTTGGCATCATCCCCACTTCACAGATGGGAAAATTGAGATGCAGATGCTGGAGAGAATCTCTTCTGGCAGTGCCCCTCCCCCAGTTTTGCTTCTGTGCATCTGAAGGCTCAGCCCCATGCTCAGTACTATGGAGGGATGGTGGCTTTGAGCTGGGAGATGCCCGGAGAGTCATTCTGTCCAGGGTTTCCCAGGGGAAGCTTCTGTCAACAAAACTGAACAATGGTGGACTTTTCCCAGAAGGATGTTATTTTGTTAGCTACCATGTGTCCAGGTTTACCTTTGCCACTCAGTTTTTCTCCACGTTTTAGTGCCAGCTACAACTTGTTTGTGCTAAATGTGCTATAGATACTATCAAATTTTCTTATGCTTGGTTTTGTTTTGTATTTTTCTTTTATTAAAGAATATGTTTTTATTGATTTTAGAGAGAGAGGAAGGGGGAGAGAGAGAGAAACATTAATCGGCTGTCTCCTGCATGCCCCCTACTGGAGCCTGCAACCCGGGCATGTACCCTGACCGAGAATTGAACAGGTGACCTCTTGGTGCATGGGACAACACTCACCCAACTGAGCCAACTGGCCACAGCAGTTTTTGTTGGTTTGTTTGTTTTTCTTAATCTATGATACTTTCCTAGGTGTGTTGACATGAACTTGGGGATTACAATTTTTAAAGTGAATATTGTATTTAAGTTATTTCAGTTTCCCCACAGCAGCACTAGCATGGATTGTGTCTGGTTCTCCCACTACTGTTTCCCCAGTGTACGTGGTAAATGAATGAGCAAATCCCTGTGGTGTGAGTTTGATCCCCAGTTTTACAGGAATGAACACTGAGACTCAGAGAGGTTAAGGAACTTGCCCAGGGTGGCACAGCTAGGCAGCTGCAGAGTGAGGATTCAAGTGTGACTCCCAAGTTCATGCTCTTATCTCCTGTGCACTCAGCTGCCTGGTGTCTGGTAGGACTTCCCTGTGCATTTGCCACAAGAGTTAAGTCTTAACCTTATGCTGGAACATGGAATCTTGGCTGCAGAAGGTGGTCAGGCCTTGGGTATATTCTAAGTAGTATGGGCCCTGCCCAGTCTTCTGATGAGGGGATCAGAGGCCAGAGGCTGGTAGCAATTGGCTCCAGTGACCCAGGGTTGCGGGATGGGCTGGGATGGAGGTGGGGGTGGCTGGTGGCTGGCAGCTGCCTACCCTGTCAGTTTGTCCACAGCTTCGTCAGCCACTTCAAGTCCCGACAGGAGCGGGAGGCTGAGCTGGGGGTTCGGGCCATGGAGTTCACCAACGTCTATGTGAAGAACCTGCAAATGGACATAGACGAGCAGGGCCTGGAGGAGCTCTTCTCCCAGTTTGGTGAGTGTGTTTCCCGAGGGAGTTTGGGGTCACTTTCTCTTCTGCTCCCTAGTCAGGCTGGGAGGAAAGGCCCTCCTGGGCTTTCTGGAGACTTGTGGGAGGAAAGGGCAACACCTTGGGGCTTCCTAAACTCCCCTTTGAGCCAGGTTGGTCCTTCCCAGGGAAGACGCTGAGTGTGAAGGTGATGAGGGATGACAGCGGCCACTCCCGAGGCTTTGGCTTTGTCAACTTTGAGAAGCATGAGGAAGCCCAGAAGGTAGGAGCCTGCCTCCCCATCGCCCTGCTTCATGGAGAAGGTGCTGGGCCAGGACTAGGAAGAAGGGAGGTCGGGAGCAGAGAGCTCCGGCTGCCTGTGGAAGGAAAGGTCACATGAGCCAGGGCCCTTCCTGCCTGCGCTGAAGGCAGAAGGCTTCAGCCTCCTCTGGGACTTCCGAGCCATGTGGCTGCTTATTTTATAGGTTCTTGCTGCACGAGAGGTAGAAGGGGCCTTCGAGACAGCCACTACCCTCTTCTTGAATTGATTGGGGGATTGAGGCAGGGAGGGAAGTGCTATGCTATTTCTTGCTTCCAGGCCTTTGTAAATGCTGTTTTCTCACACTTCCCTTTTCCTGCAAATTAGACCGGTGCTGTCCAATAAAAATGTAACGTGAGCCACATATGCAATTTAAAATTCTCCAGTAGATAAAAACAACAACACAATTTTCAATAGCCACATTAAAAAGGGTAAAAAAAGAAACTGTGAAATTAATTGTAATATATTTTATTCAACGTTAACATTTTCAAATGATCACCACGTCAATGAGTATTTAATATAAAAATTGAGATTTTTTTTTACATCCCCTTTTTTTTACTTAATTCTTTGAAATCTGGTACCTCCAGCACAATTCAGACCAGCCATATTTCAAGTGCTTAGTAGCTGCATGTGGCTACTGACTACCTTATGGGACAGCGTAGCTTTAGGCGATTTAGTGCCTGTCCTTTGGGTCTCATACTTTCCCTCCTTCACAAAGCTGCCTCTTCCTGTTATCATTTACTTGTGATACCTTCTGTCTCTCTCCATTAGTAGCACATGAACGAACTGAAAGTAGAGCGCTAGCTGGTTTGGCTCAGTGGATAGAGCATCAACCTGAGGACTGAAGGGTCCCAGATTTGATTCAAGTACATGCCCGAGTTGCGGGCTCGATCCCTAGTAGGGAGCATGCAGGAGGCAGCCAATCAATGATTCTCTCTCATCATTGATGTTTCTATCTCTCTCTCCCTCTCCCTTCCTCTCTGAAATCAATAAACATATATTAAAAAAAGAAGAAAAAAGAACAGAGTAGAGGCTGGGTCTCGTTTCACCATTAAGTCTCTAGTATTGTACCTGTCAGTAGCTACCAGATATATAATTGCTCAGTGAATGAATGGTACAAGGTCATACAATGACAAAGCTGGAATAACAATGTTATATTTGTCCTCCCACCATAAAGCTCTTCCCATGGTTGCTGCCCCCTTTAAGATCACCGGACATGGAAGAGCTCAGCTCAGGGTGGATTCTGGCTGGAGACCTGGACCCTGGTGCCATCTCGATATCAGCCTCTTCTCACTGAGCACTTAGCACGGGCCAGGCACTGTGCTAGGGGTTTTGCACACATTCTCATCTCCCCCCACTAATATGGGCTCTGCTGTTATTATTAGGTTTCATGGGTTGTATTAGGTTCCACTGAGATTAAAATAAACTCTTTCTGACTCTGAAGTTTTGTTCTTAAGTAAATGGCTCCTTTGAAAGGTAACTTCTTGTGTGTCCTTGGACAAGTCCCACCCTCTCTCTAGGTTTTGTTTTCCCCAACTGTAAAACGACAAGTGGGAGTAGATGGGTGAAGCTGCAGGGGTCCATTAACTCCAAGGTCTTAAGACTTTGGTAATGACTTTTAAGACTGCTGTAGAACAGGTAGTTCCTGGGTCCACGATGTATATTTACATATATTTGCATATTTAGGCAGGAAAGCAAAAGTCATCATTATGTGAAAGTATTTACTAATGAACTGACCACTGAAAAAGTTCCCTTCAACATTTCTCTTCACTAACACCATTATCTCATCCTAACTATTGAGCCAGTATACACATAAGTCTGCCTTTTGCAGATTTTTGCAGATAAGTCCATGCAAATTCAGTTCAGTATAAATGGATTGCAGAGAGAAGTTGCATATCTCACAAAAGATGCAGGATTTCATGCAATCAAAGCCACTGACAAGTTAGGGTCTGGTAGGCTTAGGCTAGTTAACTGAAGAAAAGCAAAATCAACAGGGTTAAGACACCAGTGTTTCTAAAACAATTAATTATTTCTAAAATAATTAGCAAAAGGATTCTTTATGCTGTGAAATCCAACATGAAGTAAAAGATATTGATTATGCTGTCATGCCATTTTGAAAGAATTATGCTTGCTGCTTTGTTTTTAAAAAATCCGTGTGTAGGTAGTTATAAACTGATTGTCAAATATGGGAAACTGCAAATTTCCCTTTTTAAAATAGAGTCAGAAGCAAATTTTTAAAAATCTACAGTTTACTCTGAAATTTTGTCCCATGTTTTTAAAAAGTGGATGGCCTTTATCCTGTTACTAATGATTCTCAGCTAACAAGGCCAGCCTGGTTGGCAGGTGGTCCCTTCTAAACCCGGGAGGTGGGACTGGAGGCCATGGCTAAGGCCAGGGCCTCATCGGGGGTGGTTCCCAAGCACTGTCGCTCCATCTTCTCTGCACAGGCTGTGATGGACATGAACGGGAAGGAGGTGAGAGGACAGCTCCTCTATGTGGGCCGTGCCCAGAAGTGGGCGGAGCGGCAGAATGAGCTTAAGCGAAAGTTCCAGCAGATGAAGCAGATGAAGCAGGACCGGCTGAACCATTACCAGGTGAGGGCCCTGAATGTGATTCCCTCCTCTAGCAGCCCCACGTCCAGGAACTAGGCTTTAGGGATTGTGGGGGCTCCAGCTTCCAGGTGAGGGGCATGCCGTGTGATTGGTGGGGTGCATGGGTATTGTGCGGGGCTGGGAAAGGAGGCTTGGAGACCAGGGCTTCCACTGCCCCCCACACAGGTCAGTCAGGAGCGTGGGGAGGAAGGCATATCTATCAGTGTCCTTTCCCTCCAGGGCGTGAACCTGTATGTGAAGAACCTGGATGACTCCATTGATAATGAGAGGCTGAGGAAAGAGTTCTCTCCCTACGGAGTGATCACCAGTGCCAAGGTGAGGGCTGTGGGTGCCCACAGTGGACAGATAGCCCCCCCCCTCCCATCCTCTCACTCCCCACACACCCCTTCTTCCTCCCATGGCCTTCAGGGAGTTGGTGCGGAGCCACACCTTTTGGATTTGGGGGCCATGTCTGACCCCATTAGAGCTTGTCTGCACTGGAGGGAAAGAGGATGGTAACACAGTCCCAGTCACACAGCTGGTCTTACTGGGGCCCACTGAAACCTTGGTTCATTCAACAAGCATTTATTGAGTGCCTACTATATGCCAGATTCCAGAAATTCATGTCTTAGCATTTCCATTGACTTTGTTGTCTGGTCTTGAACAGTGACATACCCCTTCTGGGCCTCAGTTTCTCCATCTGAAAAATGAGAGGGTTGGGCTGCTATATCATTCTTCATCTATTCTTCATTAATTAAACATTCTTAGCACCTGAAGTGTGATGATTAGCTGTTCTACTCAGTAGCTCTGTGACCTTGAGCAGATGTCTTCTGAGTCTCATCTATAAGATGAGGGAGTTGGGCTCACTGGATGCTTCTTCAATGCTGACGGCTCATTAAAATCCCCTAGGGCAGTGGTTCTCAACCTTGGCTGCACATTAGAATCACCTGGGAATCTTTTTAAAATCCTGATTTCTGGGCCTCATCCTCCGGAAATTCTGTTTCTTTGTTATGGGGTGGGGCCACAACATTAGTAACAAAGAAACAGAATTTCCGGAGGATGAGGCCCAGAAATCAGGATTTTAAAAAGATTCCCAGGTGATTCTAATGTGAAGCCAAGGTTGAGAACCACTGCCTTAGGGAGCTCCTAAATACACCTGAGAGAAATTTCATGTAGATTCTGAGGGTAGGGGCTGGGCATTTTATTTATTTTCTTTAAATATGTTTATTGATTTTAGAGAGAGAGGAAGGGAGAGGGATAGAGAGATAGAAACATCGATAAGGGAGTAACATGGATCAGTTGCCTTCTGCACGCCCCCACCTACTGGGGATCCAGCCTACCACTCTGGCATGTGCCCTGACCAGGAATCAAACTGTGACCTCTTGGTACCTGGGTTGATGCTCAACCACTGAGCAACACCAGCCAGGCTCTGAGAGTAATTTTAAATGCATAAAGGAAAATTCATAGGATTACAAAAACAATTATATTGAAATAATTATCAAAATACTAAGGTGACAGCAGTATGTGCTTCTTTATTAGTGTATCAAACTATAAGATCTAGTGAAGTAGCAATTAGCATAAAAGATATTTGAGATCAGCAATAATGAATATGAAAATATTTTCTCTTCCCCCAAAAGTCACATTTTTTATTCTTACATTCAAAATAGAAGGAAAGACTAATATGAAAATACAGATGCCATTTTTTCCCCATTTGAGTTTACAGACCCCCTGAATCCCATCCATTGACCTCCCTGTGGATCTGTGAACTCTCAGGTCAAAGCAGGTAGCAAAGTACAGTTGGAAAATCACTGATGTAGAGAATGGGCTCTAATAGAGCAGATTCAAAAAATTATCTCAATCCTGTTGCTCATGGAGTAGGTGAGCAGGGCCAGTGTCTTGACCCTAAAAAAGATTAAGAACCCTAAATGTAATGTGGATTGGATCCTGGAAGAGGAAAAGAATATTAGCAGTAAAACTAGTGAAATCCAAATGAAATGTCCAGTTTAGTTAATAGCATTGTAGCTAATGTAGTTGATAGTATTGTACCAATGTTACTATGGTAGTTTTGACGAATGTACCATGTTTACATGGGGAGGCAAGCTCAGTGAAAGAATTACAGCAACTCTGTACTATTTTTGAGACTTTTCTATAAATATAAAGATATTTCAAAATAGAAAGTTATTTTAGTTAAAAGGTTAAGAACCTCTTCCCCAGATGTTGAAAGAACTTGGCTCAGGGCCTTGTGGAGGCAATGGGGTTTTACCGGATGGTACATTGGCTGAATGTGTGACCCACTGGCTGGGTGACCCTGGACAAGTCACTCTCTCTCTTTTTTTTAATGGTAAAAAGGGCTTTTATTTCTACTAAAAAGATAATTAACAGGTTAAAGCACCAGAAGTAGAAATTCAAATTATTTTCATGTTCCTTACAATTCTCTTTATTGAAGTCTCTAGGAAATATAGCTGTTAAGAGCACCCTTTTGATGTCCATAATTCACAAATGAAGTTGTATGAGTAGTTAGGAAAACCCAGCCCTAGCCAATTTTGCTCAGTGGATAGAACATTGGCCTGCAGACTGAAAGGTCCCGGGTTCGATTCCGGTCAAGGGCACATGCTTGGGTTGCAGGCTCAATCCCCAGTAGGGAGTGTGCAGGAGGCAGCTGATCAATGATTCCCTCTCATCATTGATGTTTCTATCTCTCTTTCTCCCTCTCCCTTCCTCTCTGAAATCAATAAAAATATATATATATATATATTTTTTTAATATATTTTATTGATTTTTTTACAGAGAGGAAGGGAGAGAGATAGAAAGTTAGAAACATCGATGAGAGAGAAACATCGATCAGCTGCCTCCTGCACACCTCCCACTGGGGATGTGACCGCAACCCAGGTACATGCCCCTGACCGGAATCGAACCTGGGACCCTTCAGTCCGCAGGCCGACGCTCTATCCACTGAGCCAAACCGGTTTCGGCAATAAAAATATATTTAAAAAAGAAAGAAAGAAGGAAAACCCAAGAAGTGGTCGAAATGCAGATTGTTGTCATCATAGTGACCTCAATGGAAATGTTTAAGATGGTGGCCCTGGCTGAAGAACCAGCCCTAGTCTTAGATTCTTAGCTAACCCTAGACCCGTGGTCGGCAAACCGCGGCTCGCGAGCCACATGCGGCTCTTTGGCCCCTTCAGTGTGGCCACGAAGTTTCAATCGCACTGTACGTGCGTGCCCGCACGTGGCATTTTGTGGAAGAGCCACATTCAAGGGGCCGCAGTTTGCCCACCACTGCCCTAGACTATCATCTCACTTCATGATAGCCCCTCTGAGGACGGTATATACATTTAATTAAGCCAGCTTCCCACCACAGCCTAAGAAAATCTTTCAGAAAGAAAATTGAGAGAGAGGAATATATTCTGAAATGCAGCTCTTCTCCCTAATTCTGCGAATGGTCTGTGCACTATGCGTAGCTGTCAGTCAGCAAGTAGACTGGTCTCGGATCTGTCACTCTTGAGCCCCCCTTTCCTCACCTATAAAGTGGGAGTCATAGTGAAGTGAGGAGTGTCAAGTATCTGGCATGTGGTGGGCCTCAGTGAATGTGGGGTGACAGGACACCCCGATAGTAAGTTTCTGCTGGCCCTGCTCAGGCCAGGCTGGGCCCCAGGGGAGGAGGGGAACCGGCCCTAGGAGTCTTCCTTCCCCTCCCCCAGCAGCCCTTGTCTTGTCTTGCTTTTAGGTGATGACAGAGGGTGGCCACAGCAAAGGGTTTGGCTTTGTGTGTTTTTCCTCTCCAGAAGAGGCAACCAAGGCCGTGACAGAGATGAACGGGTGCATCCTGGGTACCAAGCCGCTGTACGTGGCGCTGGCTCAGCGCAAAGATGAGCGGAAGGCTATTTTGACCAACCAGTTCATGCAGCAGCGCCTCTCCAACGTGTGGGCCCTGGGTGGCCCCCTCTTCGGCTCTTTCCAGCAGCCCGTGAGCTACTTCCTGCCCACCGTGCCCCAGGTGAGGGCCTGCCTGCTACCTGACAGCCAGGTGGAGCAGGAAGAAAGCTTCAAGGCAAACATAGTTCCCAGCCTGCTTCTGCCTCAAACAGCAGGTTGTTTTCACCCCATTTCTAAAAGGGCTGATGAAAACCCTTCTCTAAGAGTGCAGCTGTCAAACAGCTTCCATGTGGGAGAGAGATTTGTGAATGGTATGCTAAAAAGATTCTTTGGTCAAATTTAAGTTTGGGAACTATTGCAGTAAACAAAGGAAACATAGGTTTCTTTACACATGCATTGTTTTTCCCTACTATGCCCTTCTGACTTCCCAAACAGACAGAGTGGGTAGCCCTCCCCCAACTTAAGTGGCCGTTTTGCAGCGTGCCTGCTACCATCTCTGAGGGGCCTGGTTTGGGAAAGGAGCTCGTGTGACCCAGAGGAAGTAGAAGGTTTTAGCCACTAGAGGCTCCTAGAATGGGGACATTCCTGCTCCTGTTAGCAACTGCTGAAGCCAGCACAAGTTTCCGCAGGACGTGTCACCATTTTATCCAGGTCGTTGGGCTAGTGGCTCTGAGAAGAGGAGTGAGGATTGAACCTGAGATCTTGCCCCAAAGAGTTGAGGGATAATGGCCATCCCAAAATGGGAAGCAGGCCTTCATCCCAGCTTTGTGGGTCTTTACTAATCAGTCCCCTGGGGGGACAGTGGAGTTCCTGCGGTGACATCCTTGGGGGGATGCAGTTTCTCACTTCCCCTGCTGCAGCCCCCTCACCTGGGTCTTCTTCTCCACACAGCCTCCAGCCCAGGCTGCGTGCTATGGCTCTGGCCCACCTGTCCAGCCTGCCCCCAGGTGGACGGCCCAGCCACCTAGACCCTTGAGTGAGTGATCCAGCCCCTCCCAACCATGAGTGTGGGACCCATGGGGTAGTGTGTAACATAGTGGTTAAAGAACACGAGTTTTGGGGTCAAGCCTGCCTCTGTCACTTCCTAAAGTGTTCATCGGGGTGGGTAACTTCCTCTCTGAGCCTCAGTTTCCTCTTCCGAATGTGGGCCTGAATGAGATATGTGTACGTGCACCGAGCACAGTGCTGAGCCTGTAAAAGGCTTGCATTCTCTTCAGTCAGTTCGCATTATCTACAGTCTGGTTTGTGGCTGAAAATTCTTGCGAAGCTGAGAAATGAAACTCCTTTGGCCGTGTTGCTGATGAATGGCCCTTCTCTAAGAGTAAAGGTCACCTGATTTGAAACTGCCTAGGGCAGTGGTTCTCAACCTTCCTAGTGCCGCGACCCTTTAATACAGTTCCTCATGTTGTGGTGACCCCCAACCATAAAATTATTTTCGTTGCTACTTCATAACTGTAATTTTGCTACTGTTATGAATCGTAATGTAAATATCTGATATGCAGGATGTATTTTCATTGTTACAAATTGAACATAATTAAAGCATAGTGATTAATCACAAAAACAATATGTAATTATATATGTGTTTTCCGATGGTCTTAGGCGACCCCTGTGAAAGGGTCATTCGACCCCCAAAGGGGTCGCGACCCACAGGTTGAGAACCGCTGGCCTAGGGGGATGAAGGGGTGTGATCATGACGCCTGTGCCTCTGAGGGCTCTGGGGAGACGGGAATTGAGTTGTAATAGGAAATTGCCACACCCCCTCCCTGGAGTTCGGGGTCTGCCTGACCAGGTGAATTCACTCATCTTTCTGCTGTGAATGTTCTGGTTCCCCTTCCTCACCCTGGCACCATCAGGGGGTGGTGTGCTTCTCTGATGAATAATCCCCCTTCCTGCCAACCTTTCTCTTTCCATGTTCTCAGTACCACAAGCCACCTACTCTCCAGCTGCCTCAGTGGACTGGTCACCAGCCACGTCTCAGCACTCCCCGACCCACATCAGCAGTGTCAAGAAGGCCTCTACCCAGGAGCCACCCCAGATGTCCTACACCCAAACAGTGGGTGAGTGTAGGCGGGGCCAGAGGAGTGGGTGTGTGGGGGGCTGGGTCTGGGGCAGGAGCTTGGTGCTGGATTGGCACTAGTGGGGGTTGGAACCAGCCTCCACGGTGACCTTGCCCTTCACCCTCGGAGAGCAGGGCTGACTTTGAGGCTGTATAGCACAGTAGTGAGTGTGGACTCCAGAGTCGTGCAGGCCCAGTTCCTGGGGTTCACGTACTCTGTGGCCTTGCTAACTACTATTATCGGATTGCCTCATCTTTAAAATGGGGATGAAGACAGTTTTCCCCTTTTGTTGTGTGAGTGAATGAGATCCTAAGTGCAGGGGCTTAGCACCAGATCTGAACTTAGTAGGTTCACAGCAACAGCTATGAACAAGGGCACAGATTTTGACTATAGGCAAGCACCTGTGGCAGATGTTTGTGCGTCTGTGTGCTGGGGGTTCTACATGAATGCTCGTCTTTAGGCCTTATCGCTGCAGGTTGCTGCCAGGCCCTAACGTCCCTGCTTATTTCTTACAGCCAACATTGGTACCCAGACCTCTGGCCTTGGTGAGGCAGGATGCTCTATGCCAAGTGGGCCTCTCCTGACACAGAGATATTCCTTGGAGACACCCAACACCCATGAGGTAAGGCTGACCCAGCTGCCCTCTGAATCTGGGCTCCGGGGTGGGG